ATCAGCTCCAAGATAATACTGTTAACACTAGATCAGGGTATATTGCAATTTAATGTATCAGTGATGATCTGACCAGTAAGTGTTTCAAAGCAGCAGTACCAGGAAGGGGTCCATGCATAGAGGACTAACAATAAACATGTAAACAAGTGAAAAAGATAATTCCAGATAGTGATTAACTACCATTACAAGAAAAAAATATGAGATGTGATAAAGAGTGATGGGAGACTACTCAAAATTGGGGAATCAGGGAAGTTCAATTAATGAATGATTCAATCAAAGTGAGAACTATCATTAAAAACCACATATCAATAACTTCAATAATAGAACTATATGGTCATATCAATAAAAGCCCCAAGTGGTATTTGATAAAATTCAAAATCCAGTCTTAAATACCTTGAAAGTGAGATACAGGGTTGTTCTTTCTTGACATAAAATGGGAAAAACTAAGAATTTAAAGCTGAGAGTTGATTTTATAAATGGTGGAGCATTAATTACATAAATGTAGAGTAAATATTCAATTGCTGCTTTTGGAGGAAATTGAAATCTCCAGTAAGCTGACAAGTTTGATTTAGGAAAGCAAATTGGGTTTTTTGGCTGGTGTATGTCCTTTTGGAACCAGAGAGGAAAAATATATCCCTGTGTCTTAGTCCATTTGGGTTGCTCATAAAATACCAGACTGGGTAGTTTATAAACAATGAAGTTTGTTTCTCACAGTTCTGGAGGCTGAAAGTCCGAGATCAGGGTGCCAGCACTTCTGGGTGACAAGTTTCTCATTGTATCTTCACATGGTGGAAAGGGCTAGAGATACCTCTGGAGCCTCCTTTATAAGGCACTAATCTCATTCATGAGGGTTCCACCTTCATGATTTAAGCACCTTTCCAAAGGCCCCACCTCCTTATGCATCACATTGGGCATTAGGATTTCAACATATGAATTTGGGGGGAAGGCAAACATTCAGACTATAGCACCCCATAATGTGGATTTAGTCTGAACTCTCCTTGCAAAGTACTGTTTATTTTTGTGGAAGAAAGAGAGAGATAGATGTTGTGGGTGTGTGTTTTGTCCAACTAATTGCTTATAGGAGATTGTCACACTGGACCATGCCAAGAGGGTTGTGTACGCATGATCTCTTTATGCTGGAGATAAAGTGCATGAAAAAGAATCAGTAGGACTGGACTTGGTATAATAATACTTGGATTGGACCCCTGGTGCTTTTCACAGTGTCATTTAAAACAGAATAACTCAGACTTGGGAAATGCACTGCTAACGTTTATTGCCTTGTTGGAGCCATGAGAGCCAGATTACACTCTGCATGGGTGGGTGTTCCCACTGTCAGTCTTTTAATTCGTTTAACTTATTTAATCTTCACAACAGCCATATGGGACAGGGCATGGATTTAGAGAGGAAAGATCTCTCTGATCATCCGTTTCTCTCCCTCTTTCTGTGTTCTTTGTGTACATGTACACACATGTGCACATGCATGAGCACATACACATTCCCACTCCCACTCCCACCATAGGGGATCTAGGCCAGTATTCCAGAGTGTGGTGGCTATGCATGGAGACTGGGGGTGAGCTGGCTACTGTCACACTGGATGTTCAAAAATAATGCCATTTAGCAGTGGTTGTAATCTACATTGTATTCTTGTTATTTCATCCCCAAATCTGCAGTATAATTTTGTTAATTGTTTTATTCTTGTCTTAGCTGTGGAGAATTAAGGGAGAAATGGGTGTCCATACTGGGAGAGAAACTGGACAGAGTGATATTCGGAGAAGCTAGTTATCAGCTGGCAGGAATGATCTGCTGGTCTCCAACAGTGGTGATAAATTATCAAGAGAAGTGATTTAGTAGAATGTGTAAGAGGTCTGAGCAAAGGAGATCTAAGGAACTGTGGGTTCTTATAATTTGTGGAATTCAGGGTCATGGTTTTTGTAATTTGGCTACTAAAGAAAATGTGATCTTATTATCTAATTCTGAGTTTGTGTGGTCTCTGGACTACTGAAGTCATTCACTTGTTCCTTCACTTATTTAGTCATTCCACAAATATTTACTGGTTGCCCATTATGTGTTGGGACTGGCTAGGCATGTAGATACAATGATGACTAACAGAATTTCTGCCTTTTAGGAGAAAACTTCTGGAAGTTAAATACTAACAAATCAAACTGTAAGAAAATAGGAAGAAAAATAGCCGAGGAAACAGAAATTAAAAAAATAGAAGATGGATGTATGACTATATAAACATTTTAAATATCAACAAAAATCAATAAAGGAAGATTAAAAAAATGGACTGAGTTTAATGCAAGTTAAGAATTACTTGTATTACATATGACAGATGAGCTACTGAAATTTTAAGTGCATCAGTCTTTAGTCAGAGCTAAAGCTTAACAACAAAACCCCTAAAGAACAGCAGGACACTCACAGTATTCAAGTAAGAGAAAACTTAAAAAAATACCTTCAACAGCAATTAAATAAATTTGCATTAAAAATAACAAGAAGGTACCACCTCACAATTAATGAATTTAAAAGTATAAGGAAAATCATAAAGTTATGAACAAGGCTATGGAAAAATAAGTACCTAGGCGCTGCTACTGTCAGTATAAATTGATGAAATAGAATTTTTAGAAAGTGATTAAATATTAAATATTGAGACCATTAAGATATAAATGCTCTTTACAACTGAAGATTCATCCTATGACAAAACTTCATTGTTAATAGTAATTACCACCTAGAATGCTTATTTGGTGCCAGGCACTTTCCTAAGTGCTTTATGTATATTAACTCATTTAATCTTCATAGCAGCCATATGAAGTAGATACTTTTATTATAGTCATTTTACAGATAAGGAGGGATGCCAAGATTAAACAAATTGCTTAAGATCACATGGCTGGACAGCAGGAGAGCTGAGGTTTGAAGCTCCTGGTTCTGGACTCAATCACTGTGCCACGCTGCTTCAGTGGAATAAAAAAGTTCTATATACAAAGAAACCTCTATGATGATGCTTTTAAGAGGATGCTTGTAGCATCATCATTTATAATGACAGTAATTAGGAAAAACTACGTGTTCCTAAAGGGAAATGGAAAATATATTATAGTACATTCATTTAATAGATAATTATTCAACCAGAGTTGTTCAGAATTTTTCTTTTGCTTTCTCAGGATGCAATGACCACCAACTTCACAAAAGTATTAGTTGTCCTTTTGCAAGCCTTCTCTATGTCCTTGTATCTTAGAGACATTCATAAAGATCAGGCGGCCCTGTGCCAATGGGGCATTTCATTATTTTTTGCTGCAGAAGCCTGTGGCTCCATTTATTAAGTAATTAAATGGCCTGAGGGTGGCTGAAGGGACAGTTCTTTAGGAGTATATATTACCATCTTCCCTGGATACTTGAGCCAAACTGATGCTTTCTTTGACCTCATGGTCTCACCCTTGTAACCTTACCCAATTAAAGCTGTTTCTTACTATGAATATATTAAGATAGTTAATATTAAATATATTAAATCTTACTTTAAAAAAGTGTGAATATCTAAGTAGAGTTTTGTGTTGTAAATATTATAAAGAGATTCAAAATATTTAAAATAATTTTTATTTATACAGAAACAAAATTGAAACAAGAGTAGAAAAGGACACAAATTATGTATTTTAGTATTTCTTTTCCTATTTTTTTTCTATTAACTACAAAAATAATGCATCCCATTTACTAGATGTCTACTATGTGCAGGAACTATGCTAGCACTCTACACAATTTATTGCTTTTAATCCTCTCAAGCCATATAAAGTAGGCATTATTTATTATCACCATTTCACAGATGAGAACACAGAGGCTTAGAGAAGTTGAGTAACTTGGGCCAAATCACACAATTCATAAATGGAGGAGATAGGACTTAAACCCAGATCTGTCTGAATGCAGAAATCAAGCTGTTAATCATACTGGTAACTATCTTCCTCCTTTCTTTCAAAACTAAATTTAGAGTTATTTTCTCTAATGTTTAGTTCTGTGAAGTTCTCACTCTGTGATTACAAATAACATTATAACCAGTTGCCCTGGAAATGAAGAGGGTGTCAGAAATTAAAAGTAGAAGTGCCTTACAATATTGAATATGAAAAAAAAGGTGAAGTTATGAAGTTCTCTGAAAAGAACCTTGCTATCATGATGAAATAAGAAGAAAAACCAAGGGGCTGAAAAACAGAATGAAGAACACCCTCTCAACAAAATTGCATATATTTTTACAAATACATTTCCTAAAAAGGAATATTATATATAGTAAATGTTAATGCCAGTAGCAAATGAAATTTTGAAGTTATCTAAATATGTACAGATTTCAACTGTAACTCTTCTTCTAGAAGTATCCATCTTTTCCTTCTTCTATTGGCTCAACCATATAAAATAAAATCATAAACAGAAATCTCACTCATACCAAAGACTTTGCCATCTAACTAAGGCTGGCACCTGCTCCAAGGTGGTAGATTGTACCATTTTGGATACCATTAGTAGCTTCCAATATTTCTCTTACTTTTTCTTCCTTCCTCTATCTTATTTTTGAGCTTGAGAATAAAAAAGTTCTTACAAATGTAAGAAGAGAATGATTTCTCTGAAGTCATACAACAAGTAGCTACCATAGCAGGTTTTAAACTTGTTCTGACAGAAAAAAATTTGCTTTGGTAAACACACTTTTATAAGCCAACTCCTCTGTCAACCTCTTACTTCTGAAAGTCAGTCAGTCAGGGACAGACTCACTCCAGCTGCTGCCTCTGAGTGGTACTTAATCAATAATAGTTCCACCTTAGCAACTATGCTTCTACAGATATGTCAACCCACTTATGCCTCTGAAGGTCCAATTTCTCAACTTCATGCTTCCCCTAAAACTTAGATAAGATTGGCCGTTTTTTTGGTTTGAAAAGTTGCTAACTGACCAGCATCACTTACTGTTTGGTCAGTTGCTAACTGACCAGCATCACTTACTGTAACAATCAATAAGCTAGTGCTGTCTTTTATTTCAGGTGTTGAGTGATGGTCTCATTGCACTATTTTGGAGGTTCCACCAAGATCATTTTGAAGACCATTGTTTGGTAGCATTACAGAGGACCCTGAAGCCAACAGGTGCACTCACTGGACACCTTGTACCGAAACTCTTTACTCTTCAGATATGTTGTCAAGTGAGTCAGTCTCAACAATAATCTGATCTCTGACTGTTTCACTGAATTCATATTGTTGAATTAATTTTTGTTATTCTAGGATTTTCAACCAAATGGTCTTTGGTTAGGCCTAATCTTTGTATGGAGCAATTAGACCTTTTGGTTTAGAGGTACACCACTTTATAAATAATTAGACATAGGTCTTTGTACAAGGTCACTAGGCTTTTTGTTTTGGAGGTATGCCATTTGAGAAACGTTTTTGCCATTAACCTGCTTATTTCTCCTGCTGCTTGCCTGACTTTTGCTGTTTGTCTATAAGTACAGTCTTGTTTCATGTGTTTTTGCTTTGTCCTGTTTTTTTTTCTTTCTTTTGAATGTATGAGGGAGTGTTCTGTGGGAACAAATGGATGCATAAGCTTGATAAATTTTCAATTCAGTGTAAGCCAGCCTTGACAGCTAATGGTTGGAGGTCCATTAGATCAGCAATCAATCTGTGAAAACAGGGTTTGTCAAACTTTGTTCTAGCGTCCAAATTTGTGAAAGAAGCTCACTTTGTTTTGTCTGTACTGAAGTGTGAAGGATTATCAGGTTGTTGACTGTATGGCCCCTTCCTAGTCTCTGCTTAGTTGGGGAAACCAAACGCCTTTCAAAAGACCACCCTATAGACTGACTTTAGTGGCCTTTCTTGTGTGTTATGGGTTTGTCTGTGGCAAAATTGCATCTTCCTCCTGGGAGAGCTTCTATTCCCTTTAAGAAGTACTGTAATTCTAACTTTTGCACTTTTCCTTGTAAGTAGCAAAAAATTTTTGACTTAAAAGAATAATATCAAGTTTGACATTCCAATCTTTAAATTAACATTAAGAGGAACTCTAAAAATACCAGAAGACGAAGTATCAAATAATCCGTAGTTTCTTTAACTGAAATGCTAAGGCCTCAAAAAAATTCCAACTCAAGATGGTCTCTCTCAAAGACTTTGTATTCTTCTGAAACCTATTCGCTTTGCATTTCTCTTTTTTTCTATTTAGCTTTACCTGATCTTTTAAACGAGCTATTGTTTTTTCAGGGTTTTCTCAGGGAAAGAACAATTATATTGTAAAGTTTCTAGACCAGAGGTTGAATTGAAATTCTTGTCTAGAGCTAAGTTAAGCAACATAATTAAGGATTTTCCTAAACTTCCAGAATAGAGGCATAAGTTTATTATGGAATTTAATATTTTGTTATATACTTAATTTCCTCGACTGTAGATCTGTTCAGTTAATGCTTAGCGTCTCAGATAGGAAAAATGCTTAATGAGCAGAAAGATAAGAAAGAAAATATTTAAATCTTTTAAACGTTTTTAAAAATTGTATTAAGAGAATGACAAAAATAAAACATTGACTACAATGAGGCAATTTCAGAAATGATTATTTAAAGGAAAAATTGTAAAAATGTTCAAATTGTAAACTAAACAAAGGTGAAAAACAGACTTCAGGAAATAACATAGAAGCTGGAGTACACCCACAGCTAAAGTAGAAAAATATATCTTCTTTTGTTGTAAATGGGATCAAATCTGAAATAGGGAATTGAATAATTAAATAATAAAAAAGGAATTGAAATGTAAAATTGGAAATCCAGAAATATTCAAGGGCTAGATATTTCCAGAGCTTTAGGAAATAAATAAGCTGAAACTCAATAGAATGTTTGGCTCTCTAGTTAAAAATAACTGAAAGGCCTCTGTTCTCTAAAAACTATATATAAGGATACCTGTAGTAATTGCAAATACCATGGCAATTGAAGTAATCAATGTTCCAGATTGGGTGAGAAACAGAAGGACAGTTATTCAAAATGTGTCCATTGATGTTGCTTGAAGGGTGACATTAAGCCCAAACGCTTTCCTTTCCTTATTCTAAACTCTGGAAAGAACTAACACAGCTTTCTTGTTGCGATGGGAGCCACTATACCTACCATTAATCTCTTTACTATAGAACATCCAATCCCTCAGTGTAAGATTTTAAAGTTGTTTGAAAACCAAGAAAGACTTTAAATAAAGAAAAAGAGGAATTTTGTCTTAAAGCAAAAATGACTGGTTGTGCCAGATGGTGAAATAAGATAATGAAAGACAAATCTAACGGTATATAGTAAATTGTGGAAGGCATGAGGAAAAACAAGCTTTATTTGCCTTAGTTTACTGGAAACATTGAAATAATGAACATTTCTAAAAATCTTAAGTTCTTTCCCAAGTTCCAATTTATAATTGATACTTTGGAATCATTATCAGAAGGACATTCCTTTCTTTCTGTAACAACTGCAGATTTAATTGGTAGAGATTTACTTTGCAAATGGAACTGCCAGATAAAAAGTGCTGCACAAGGATTACTTTTAAAATCCTCAAAAATTTCTCACACACAATAAAATTGTAGCTGATATGGATAATAATATACCTATTCTATGTATGATTCAAGAAATCATTGAAGAAATAACTATGGGCTCAGAATCCCAGTGGGCAAAAGATTCCATGGATACAGGCATTAATCAGAAAAGATCCCTTAGAAGTCTTTCTGGATTATATAAACTGTTCTTTTTTTGTAGGACCATGAGAAAATTAGGCCATGCTTTAAAGTTCTTAATTTACTAACCCGGCACACACTTAAGACCTATTGGCTATTAAAGCCAGTCCCTTAATTCTGTAGCCAAAGCTTAACTTCAGTTGTGTCAGAACAATTATGGGTCAAAACTAAGGAAGTTAAAATATTTTCAGATCTTGTACTGTGATCACCTTTAAGTATGATGTTATCATGTGTAGTACCATACATAGTAACTGCTTATTGCTAATGAAAAACTTTCAACATTTTTATACTAGTCAGTTAATTATAAAATACTGATACTTTCTTCTCATATTGTCATCCCTGGTGAAACATTCTTATTTCAGCCAATCTACTAACTCTTACCCAATAGAGGAGAATCTACTGATAGTGTTTCTGTAATTCCACAGCCACAACAGAATTTTTGGACCCTCCAGTACCAACTGTTGACTTAATATTCTTTGTCGCTATAATACTAAATGCTGCCAATATTGTTTATTGATGAGTCTTATATCTAAAAAAGAAGACCAGCAAATAGACCAATGGACTAGAATAGAGATTCCAGAAATAAATCCTCATATATATATGGTCAAATGATCTTCAGCAAGGGTGCCAAGACTTCTCAGTGGGGAAAGGATAGTCTCTTCAACAAATGGTGTTAGGAAAACCAGATATTCACATGTGAAAGAGTGCAGTTGGAGCCTAACCTTACACCATATACAGAAATTAACACAAAATTGATTAATGACTTCAATGTAAGATGTACAACTATAAAACTCTTAGAAGAAAACATGGGGGAAAACCTTCATGACATTGAACTTGGCAATGGTTTCTTGAATTTGACCCTAGGAAAAGCACAGGCAACAAATGAAAAAATAGACAAATGGGACTGTATCAAACAAAGACTTTTGTGTACCAAAGAACACAGAGTGAAAAGGGGGAAAATGTTTGTAAGTCATATATCTGATAAGGAGCTGATCTCCAAAATATGTAAAGCACTCCTATAACTCAACAACAACAAAAAATCAAGTAATGCAATTCAAAAATGGGCAAAGGACTTGGATAAACATTTCTCCAAAGATGATATGCAAATGGCCAACAAGCATATGAAAAGATGCTCAACATCACTAATTATGATCATCATATAGAAATGTAAATAAAAAACACAATGAGATATCACCTTTCAACCATTATGATAGGTATTACAAAAAAACAACAAAATAACAGATGTTGGTGAGAATGTGGAGAAATTGAAGCCCTGGGAGCATTATTGGTGATTATTGAATATAAAGGTACAACTGCTAAGGAAAACAGTGTGGACATTCCTCAAAAAATTAAAAATAGAATTATCATATTATCCAGCAATTCCACTTCTGGGTATATATATATCCAAAAGAATTGCAAGGAGGAGATCAAAGATTTATTTGTACAACCATTTCATAACAGCATTATTTGCAAAAGCCAAAAGGTAGAAACAACCTGAGTATCCATTGATGGATGAATGGATAAACAAAATGCGTTTATATATATATATATATATACACACAATGGAATATTATTCTGCCTTAAAAAGGAAGGAAATTGTATCACATGATCAACATGGATGAACCTTGAGGACATTATGTTAAATGAAATAAACAAGTCACAAAAAGTCAAATACTGTATGATTGCACTTATATGAGATCTAAAGTAGTCAAATTCATAGAAATAGCAAGCAAGTGTTTACTGTGACTGGTGGGAGAGGGAAGAGAGAAAGTATTGATTAATGCATACAGAGTTTTAGATTTGCAGAATGAATAAGTTCCAGAGATCTGTTTCACAGCAATGTGAATGTACTAACACTACCCAACTGTACCCTTAAATATAGTTATGTTGGTAAATGATGTGTCATGCATATTTTACTATACACACATAAAAAAGACCAGACTTGTTTTACAATAAGAAGGCCACTGTGTCCTGTAAAGCCCAATTCCTCAGCAAATTGTTCAAAATGTTTAAATGACTGTGATCTTTTTAGAGCATTGCAAATGACTAGAATTAAATAATAAATGCATATGTTAATAGCTCATATTCTTTTAAAATAATTCACTTTTTAAAACTGCTGTGGAAAAAAGAGGTTTTAAATCTTACTTAGGTACTCTTTAAAAATAAACACCAAGTTAACAGCCAATACATTAATTGCTAGGGACCTTCAGGATATATAAAATAATTGATGTAATTAAAGTAGAGACAGTTAAAGAGATTCTGTAGAAGCTAGTACACCATGCTGTAGATACTGTAGAAATAACTTTAGAAATACTATTGAAATATATTATATTAACAGAATAGCACACTAAATAGACTGATTAAAGTCTTTACACAAGGACCTCATAAAACAACAACAAAATAATAATAAATCCATGTAGAAGTTCAAGAATTCCATAGTGGGTACACAAAATATGGACTCCCAAATTCACAAAAGAAACACTGGGAATGATCTGTTCTGAGATCCATGAGGATAAAATCTGGCAAAAACAGGCCTTATAGCACCAGAGGAACTCTTCAACTGACATTTACAAAAATTTTCCATGAAACAACCCATCACAGTGGGGTTGTCATATTGTAATATTTTTCTCCTTTACTGATTTACAGTATTCCACTTCTGACTTAGCCTGTCCTATTCTCCTTACTACTACTAATAGTAACTTGCTTAAATCTGGACCAGGGTTGGTAAAGTATGGCTTGAGACCGAAGCTGGCCTGCCACCTATGTTTGTAAATAAAATGTTATTGGAATACAGCCACCGCATTTTAAAATATATTGGCATGGCTGCCTTTGCATCACAGCAGCAGAGATGATTAATTGTGACAAACAATTTATGGCTCACAAAGCCAAAAATATTTAATATCTAGCTTTTTATAAAGAAAGTTCATTGACCCTTGGTCTAGACAATTGTCATCATAACTCTGTAATTCAGCTCTTCCAAGCTATTTTTATTTCAGCCACTTTAATAAATGATGTAAGAGTACATTGCTCTAACTTTACCAATAATGACACTCTTTGCATACAATACATAAATGAAGGAAAATGTCCTTGCACCAAGGAAATTACAAATTACAAACAATAACTGTCACACAATACTCAGAGACATTGTATTTTCATCTCCTCCAAAGTTGAATTATCTCATGTATAGTTTTTGCTCCTTTTTTCATAAAGGAATGAGGATCTTCAATGCCACTCCAGGACCTAGGTTGATTATTCCGTTGAATTATTAGTTAGGTGATTCCAAAGGCATAATTCCTGTAGAAGCCAGTTTCTAAGAGGCTCCTTAATGATTCTCACCTCTTGGTTTTCATGCCCTTGTACATTGTACCCTTCCCACATTGTATCAGGGTTTGTCTGTGTGACCAGTAGAATATGGCAATCGTGAGGATTTGGCACTTCCAACATTAGGTTATAAAAGACATTGTGATTTCTGTCTTGCTCTCTCTCATATCATTCACTCCAGGGGAAGTTAGATGCCATGTTGTGAGCAACCCTATGGTGCATGTGTCAAGAAACTGTGACATCCTTCCAACAGCCAGTGAGAAACTGAGACCTGAAGTCAAGAGCCATGTGCATGGGCCTTCTTGGGAGTAGATCCTACATTCCTATTCAAGCCTTCGGAGAACTGTAGCTTTGGTTGACATCCACCTTGACTGCAACCTCAAGAGAAATACTGAACCAGAACCACCTGGATAAGCTTCTTTCAAATTCCTGCCCCTCAGAAACAATGTGAGATACTAAATATTCTTGTTTTCAAGCTGCCAAGTTTGAAATATTTGTTACACAACAATAGATAACTAATACAATTCCCCAACATCCTAAATGGACTAAATATCCTTTCAAAGAGTACAAAAGTATAAAATGTTTTATGGGGAGAGAATCCTGAAAATAATGATCTTCTCCATAAGAGTTAAACTAAGGCATTCATCAAAAATGTGTTTCATTACTTCGGGTGACACAGTAAATTATACAGTCCAAACTGTGGGGCACAACAAACCAGCTTAAATTCCTTAAACCAAGATAATAGAATAGTCTTGGATTTTATTTTGGCCTACCAGGGAAAATTCTGAACCAATGCTAACATCATATTTGTACCTAAACACTACAAGTGAATTGGAGTAATCTATAGCTAAGCTAAAAATAAAAGATAGCCTAGCTATCTAAAATAGACACAGGGAATTTTTGAGTCTTGTTTTCATGATCAGGTCTGAGAAATTTGGGATCATGGTTCTGAAATGTCTTCTAGTCCCTTCCAATTATACTTATTTGTGTCACTGTTGTTAGAGTCTTAAAAGCTTTGTGAACCACTGTCCTGACAGATGATTGAACAAATGATTCAAAGACAAAAACCAAAAAAAAAAAACAAAATAAAATCATGCTGATAGAAATGTAACTTGAAAATAAAACCTCCACTGACGAAACCTCACTTTCACAGAAAGTCAACAATGGTGAAGATCTGCACAATCCTTGAAGGTCTGTCTTGCAGCTCTGATTGAATGAGGACTAAAAGGAAGGACTGATAATAAAGAAGTTCCCATAAACTTAGGAATAGACTGATATTTGTTGTAGCAAGGGTAACAAGTGGTCCCAAGAACCAGTTTTAAACCCATTCAGTTGATCAAGAATAACTTGCTTCAGTAAGCCCCTCATGAAAGTTAGCCTATTAGGGGCAGACCCACTCCAATACACACATCTATGAATGCCAAATTATCAACAACAGTCTCACCTGAGTAACCATGGACTACAGATGATGTCAATCCATTTACACCCCTAAAAGTCTGTCAATGGCCGGTACTCTATTCTTCCCCAAACAAAGAGCTTTTATAAGGTCAACAGTTTGCTTTGCTTGGCGAGACTGTGCCTGATCAGCATATCCCACCCTTGCTAGAGTAAGCAGTAAATTCTTTTTTGTCTTTTTACTTCATATGTTGAATGGTGATTTCATTATCCTTTGGCAAATTCTCCTGATTCTTTCATCATTTATTTCAACCTTTTCCAGTTTAATAGTTTGAATAGTGATAATGATGATGATGATTTTAACCTCTACTTACTATATACTGTGTACTGTGCCAGGGTCTTTACATGCATTATTTCAATTATTGAGGACTCCCAGTAATATCTGGCTACCAGTAGGTAGCACTCAAACCTGGAGAAGTTATTAGTCCTGGCTTATTCATTGTGCCAATCATTTGCTCATTTGCTTTCAAATCTACTGCTCTGCTCAATATCACACGGGGATGACTCCTACAGACTGAGTTCAGTTTGGCTAATGGGAATCTGTAGGGAAAGATGAAAGGCAGGGAGGGAGAAGGCAGGGTATCTCTGCCCTTTCTGTTTCTGGAGGTGGTTCTGGCAATAGCTGTGTTTCCTCCTGTTGTTCCAGCCCCTTTGAATATATCTTCCTTCTTGGTGGTCATCACTCATATTATTCTGTGTGAAATACCTAGAGTGCATTCTGATTTCCTGAACCCTTACCAATAACAATCAGAAAGAACTGGAGGTAGAAATTGTACCAGGTAAACTTGAGGGACTTGAGATTGAGTCCCAAGTCTGCCTCTAAATCACTTGTGACCTCAAAACAATCACAGTTTGGTGCCTCAGTTTTGCTATCTATATAATGGAACTGTTGTTCGTTCTTTAAGGCCTCCCAAGCCCCATCTTGCCCAATGAGAACCTTCTGTAATGTTACACCTGCAAGAATTGGTTGAACATTTAGAAGAGTTATAACTTTTCCCTTCTCTCATGTAACAGTGCTTAGAAATTGCCTAAAGGGCCATGACTACATCTAGAAATATAGCTGTTTCCTTAACCAGATGAAACATAAACTTTTCTATGAACAGTGCAAGTTACATAATTTGAGGGACCCAGCCCAAAGTGAAAATGCAGGGCCCTTATTTACAATGAGGAAAAATGTGCCATCATAAGTGTTATGAATAAAGTTTTTTCCTTAAAAATATTTTGTTATTTATGAAATATAATAGAGACCATAGTGACATATGAATAATAATATAACTTACAAAGTACAAAACATTTTTGGTGTCATAATTTTATATAATACATATTATATATATAATATATAAATGACAATATTTTATTAATGATATCTTGATTAATCATAATTTTGTGGCTTCCTTTTCTGCAAATTAATTTAATAGATCATTAAGGTATGTACTTTTAGCAATGTTATTTTCAATCGATACAATTGAGAGATATCAGTTGCTCTTAGAAAATATAAGATTGCAAACAATTTTGATAATTTTAAATTTTAACAAGAATCTTCCAGCTGATGCAATTGTTACTGGAACTGTTAACAGTATTTCATAGGCTGTGACATTTGGGATAAATTTCTGAGAAATTATTTGGAAGTAAAAATTCTGGTATGTGAAGTGCTGATGATTCTCATGGGAAGTTTTTTCTAAAAATACTTCATTCTATTTTGTGTAAGTTAAAAGTGAATTTTAAATGTAAATTTATACAATGGCATTTAAATATTTCCTCTGACATTTCCTAAACTTGTGGAAGTTGTTCAAGAAACCAAATGTGACTTCCTGATTTATATAATTCAAAACGCTGGCTTATGCATTCTATCAATGCATCTTCAACTACAAGGAAAAAAATTATTTAAAAATAAATTTCTTCCTTTATTGGTTCATCTGAAGCTTTAGATAAAAGTAGTACTTTTCTACCAAATGCCATGATCTTTAAATTTATTTTCTGTTTCTAAGCCTGTGGATATGTGTTTTGCAATGTTGACACAGTTTTTAAAACCTGAGATTTTTAAACTCTTTAAAGGATTATAATGACTGACATGCTTTCTTGCATATCCTTATGTAAACTTTTATTTTGTACTAATTTACTGACAAAGTTTACTGCCTGTGTTCTGGCAGTTCCTGTCCCCACCACTGGCCAGAGTTAATGTTTGTGCATGTGCCACAGTCAGACTACAGGGACCGATGGGCAAGCCAGCATCCTCAAGTTGCCCATGCAGAAGCCTGTTCCTCCCTCGCGGCTGCAGCCTCTGCCCACTGTTGCAGGTGCTTTCGCATTGCTATCGCCATCTTGGGCCTAGGCTCTGGTCTGGTCACCTTGGTCAGGTAAATATAATACTTCTGTGTGCCTAAGGATTTGAAAAGTTGAACGAAGTACTGAAGAGGAGCTAGCGATGTTTATCTTCTTTATAAACTTACATAAGAAATATTTGCAGCCTCATATGTGAGGGAACTTGGTAGCTGAGACTTGCTAGCATCACTAAGTCTAAAATCAAGGGGCCCAGACAGAGGGCCACAGATGCCAATGAAAAACCTTAGCAGTGCCCAGTGACCCATGGAAATGGACATGATTGTTTCCAAGATGGTCCAACAGCATAATTAGTATTGGTGACTGAGAATCTTCCAGAAGTGATAATGTACAAAGATTGGTGTGTTTGGAGCTAAATCTATCCAAGGTGCATCTTGGGATAAAAAAGTAGAGATGAGTGAATTTGTGTTAACCTCACTAGGCTATGTTGTCCTTTATCTTTAAAATATCTCACTACCTTGAAGAAATGGGAGTTGACTTATATGCATGCATGCCATCTCTAGTACTTCTTAGAGAGTCTACATAATTTATACACTGTAGGTGTGGAATATGTTGTAGTACTTTTTATAGTGATATATTTGAAAAACCTTTTAAAATGTTCTTTCAAGAACTTTGTATGGAAGTTTTCAAACATATACAAAAGTAGAGAGTATAGTATGATGAGCCCCTCCTTATGTACTCCTTATGTACTCATTACCCAGCTTTAATAATTTCATAACTGAGTTTTATCTATACCCCCATTCACTTTCCTCAGTTTTATATTATTTTAAAGCACATCCCAGACATCATATCATCTTCTCTGTAAATATTTCAATATGTACCTTTAAGAGATGAGGTATGGAAATAAAACAGATGTAGTAGGATTATAATGACTGACATGCTTTCTTGCATATCCTTATGTAAACTTTTATTTTGTACTAATTTACTGACAAAGTTTACTGCCTGTGTTCTGGCAGTTCCTGTCCCCACCACTGGCCAGAGTTAATGTTTGTGCATGTGCCACAGTCAGACTACAGGGACCGATGGGCAAGCCAGCCTCCTCAAGTTGCCCATGCAGAAGCCTGTTCCTCCCTCGCGGCTGCAGCCTCTGCCCACTGTTGCAGGTGCTTTCGCATTGCTATCGCCATCTTGGGCCTAGGCTCTGGTCTGGTCACCTTGGTCAGGTAAATATAATACTTCTGTGTGCCTAAGGATTTGAAAAGTTGAACGAAGTACTGAAGAGGAGCTAGCGATGTTTATCTTCTTTATAAACTTACATAAGAAATATTTGCAGCCTCATATGTGAGGGAACTTGGTAGCTGAGACTTGCTAGCATCACTAAGTCTAAAATCAAGGGGCCCAGACAGAGGGCCACAGATGCCAATGAAAAACCTTAGCAGTGCCCAGTGACCCATGGAAATGGACATGATTGTTTCCAAGATGGTCCAACAGCATAATTAGTATTGGTGACTGAGAATCTTCCAGAAGTGATAATGTACAAAGATTGGTGTGTTTGGAGCTAAATCTATCCAAGGTGCATCTTGGGATAAAAAAGTAGAGATGAGTGAATTTGTGTTAACCTCACTAGGCTATGTTGTCCTTTATCTTTAAAATATCTCACTACCTTGAAGAAATGGGAGTTGACTTATATGCATGCATGCCATCTCTAGTAC